GAGCGGCGTCCATGGTACCCTTGTACTTGACGGCCTCACCGGAGGTCATCATCATGCGGCGACGGATGGTGTCAAGGGGGTAGGAGGCGATACCGGCACCAGTGGTGACGGCCCAACCAAGAGCGAAAGAGGCCAAGAAGTTACCCTCGAGGGAACCGGTGAGGAGGACGGGCTTGATCGAGTCGTACATACCGAAGTAGAGACCACGGTAGACAACGATACCAGCAACGGAGGGCATGAAACCACGGTAGAGACCGCCGATACCGTCGGAGGCGAGGGTCTTCTTGTAGACGTCTACGAGACCGTTGAACTGGCGCTCACCACCCTTCTTGGCCGACTTGGCGTCGTTGGCGAGACGGGTACGGGCGTAGTCGAGGGAGTAGACGAAGAGGAGGGAAGTGGCACCGGCAGCCTGTTGTTGTTAGATTGTGATTTGCTAGACATCGAGCGGATGTACTTACACCACCGGAGGCCAAGTTACCGGCCATCCACTTGGCGTAACCGTCACGCTCCTTCTTGTAGGCGAACATGGACTTGTAGGTGTCGCGGAAAGCGAAGTTGAGCGCCTGGGTGGGGAAGTAACGGATGACGTTGGCAGTGTTACCACGCCAGAGGGAGAGGACACCCTCGTTCTTAGCGGTACGGCTGAAGCACTCGCCAATGCCATCGTACTTGCGGTCGAGACGACCGGACTTAAGCATCTCATCCTGCGGGGTGGGTTAGCAATTGTCGACATGCGGGGGTCGGGTTTGTGATAATGCTTACCTGGTTCTGGATGAGGAGCTTAACACGCTCGATGGGGGCAGCAGCGGTCTTCGAGACGGCGGCGGAAACACCACCCACTGATAAGCTGTTAATGGCTGTTGCGTGTGCAAAACTTTGCAGACAACGCTCGCATCACATCCAATTGCCAATGGCACACGGATTGATGGATCTGTCGATGGAGATTCACGTACTCAGGAAATCCACCACGAACCCAGGCATTCCGAACAATGACTTATCTGGACCTCATTAGCGGCGTACTGTTTAATTCGTACATGCGATACATACCCTGCTGTGCGCCCGACATCTTGGATGATGTATGGAGGGGAGATTGGTTGAAAAAGGTGAGGTTGCAGATGCTGGTGCTGCGTTGAGGGAAGAACGGTGTATTTGTAGCGAAGCTGCGACAAATTCTGCCAGCAGCGCTAATTCGCACTAAGCCAATCACGTGCTAGTGGCCTTGCCCGCTATCCCGAGCGCACCCTCATCAACACCTCGGAAACGCGGGTTGAGACAATGGTGAATGAGAAAAAGTCCTCACGATGGCCGTCGCATTGCAATTGATCTCTCGTACGTCCCAGTTGCTATATATCGACGGCCTGCTCTGCATCCAATTCACGATACTCTGCCTCTTGATCCCAACGGAACCCCCACAAGCGTTGCCGTAGCAGCCACACAATGCCTATGGCTTGACGAAAGTGCGTCTAAAGGCAGCCCGCAGCCGTCAATTCAACATGGAAAATCCACTGTGGGGATGTACAAGTGTTCACATGCCTCTTCCAGCCCAAGTCTCCCACCCTCTCCTTTCTGCGAGGCACCATTGTCAGGGTCCGCCATTTTTAGGTCGGGTAATCTCGGGGACGGAACCTGGCTCGGGCCAACAACTAGCGGCGAGGGCCCTCAAAGAACGTGGGGCCCGAAACTCCAGGCGGCGAATTTTCCATCGCGCTGCCCGCTATTGGCACAAGAGCCGTGGTTCGCGAAGCCTCGCCTGGCTTCTAGGGCTGCCGAGATGCCTTTCCAAGGCTGCCATGGCTGGATGCGTGACGTTGGTGTTGCAGCAGCTTCGTGATGCTGGCGGACACCGTATGTCGGTGTCGGTTGTCGCTGTCTGACGCTCTTCAGTACCTCTCCGACGGCAGCCGTCTCAAGTCATCCGATCACGTCGGGACATCACAAAGACTTCGCCAGTGATCGGAATGCCAAACCAGTATCGCGTCCATGGAGAATGTTGAACTCGGCCGTACTTTAACTTTTATCACCGCGAGAACACTTGCGTCATTGCGTCTTGTCGGACCGTGTTAGAAGCAGGTGGGATAAGCTACCATCAGCCTTCCATGAACAACTTGTTTTCTCGAGGTCACTCTAGCTCCCTTTGGTACACCCCTAATTGCTGGTAGTATCGTGGCCGTTGTATACAGGTTTGCGGTATACAGACATACTCCCTTACATCTCAAGCCTGGCTCATCCTCCCTTGCAGCATACAGAGCATCTTTCATCGACTTTGAGAAGTATCATCGTAGGCCCGGACCTATACATGGCTCGGTTCCAGCACAGTGAGCATCCTCTGGCTGGGTTGTCAGCTGCAACATAGAAGGATGGTTGCGAGACCAAGACCTTTTGCTCGTACTTCGCCGTCAAGCTGGCACATGAAGGAGACGATATAGTTGAACGCACCGATGGCGATTGAAAACTCAAAGGGTTGCACAAGACAGTAAGTAGGTTTCCTGTATTTACACATCTTGTTAAGTAAATGCTACCCCAAGTCTGTAGTGGAGAGCCTCTCGAACCCTGCAGATTGAACAGAAACGCCTTGATCGGCAACAACGATAAAGTCTTTAACCAATAAGGCTTATCCTCGTCAACACCATGCGACATCGCAACGCGAAACGCGGCAACACAATGGAAGCCATCCTCGACCAGGCTGCCACGCATCCACTCAAGAAGATCGAATGAGTACATCCATACCCTTCCGTCTTCTGTCGCGTCACCTTCGCGCATACGGTCACGCGAAGCCGAGCAATAAGATCAAACAGTATGGACATTGTCTTCAACTCTTCAAACTAGATTGTATGCAAACGTTACAATCCGATCGTATGACCTACGGCACGGCGCAGCAGACGACCTCCTCCGCCTTACACACGGCGACCAAATGACTATAGAAGACATTGGTCAAGAACTCGACCACTCCGCCACGTCAGTGTAGGAAAAATTTGAAAAGGTCTGGAGTCTACATCGACGTTTTGTCACCTACTTTGCATGTTTCCAGGTTGATGTAGGCTCCAGACCTGTTCAGTTTTCTTCTTGAATGAGGTGCTGCCTTGAGGGGCATCCTGCGGGCGCCGGTACACCATCCGCACTGCACTTAACCGATAAGCATGATCTCCAATCGGCCGATGCTCGCGCCATCTATCAACTCAAGATGTACATGAAAGCTTCGGCATACTATACTGAATACTGCCCATTCTTGTCCAAGGCTCTCCGACAATCACAGAACAAGACGAAGAAGTGAAGCCAGTACCCAAGACAGGTTCCAAACCAGTTTGTACTCCGCCAAACTGTACCAAGACCGGAGAAAAGTCCTGTAAGAACAAGAGGGCTTTGCAAGAGCATGTCGTCACCAAGCACACTGAGTGTTATCCCGCCACGTGCCCAGTTGACGGCTGCCCACGCACCGACTTCGCATCATTTATCCATATCGATAAGCACATGAAAGAAGATCACCTGGAATACGCCATGGCCTTGTGCGACTGCGACACGATTATCACATTCCGGTTTGAGGGGTGTCAAGTCCGCTACAAAGCACACGCCTGCTATCGTACCCACCACCTGCAGAAAGAGCACAGAGTCAATCAGCCAACTGTGCTCGAGCACAAGAAGCCAAAGGGTCATTCCTGCTACGTAGAAGGATGCAACACACCCCACAAGTTTAGCAGTCCATAGAGTACGACTCTCATCTGATTCAAACCCACGGACTTCACACCCCAAACCAACGGAGGATCTTCTTGAAGGGCACGGCGTGTCCGTGGGTGGAGAACTATGCCCCCTTCATATACAACGCGCGATTCGCATGAGCACGATGTCTGGTATACTGCAACCATACAGACCTGTTTGTATCGTATCTATAGCATGTATATCCCGGAGTGGTTACACGTCGCTTGTCATCATATCATGCTATCAAAGAAGGTCTTTGAGTCATGGAAATAACGCAATATGTATAGTATGTAGTTTCACGTACATACAAGCGATATTGTCGAGTTGATATGTACTTCAAAACCGTGCACGATCGAGCGATACTGGTCTGATATCACTGGGTTCTGTACTGAGACTTGCCCATGATGACGTCGTACCGACTCTGCTTTCCAAGTGTCCACCACCGTACGTCTTCCCTTGACTGTACTCAATCATCGCATTGCTAACGCTCTGCAGACTTACTCCCGTGCGTGGCAGTGATCAGTTTCGTAAGCGCTATCTTCATGTCCTGCTCTGGACCGGTCTAAGTATCCATGGACGATGTACATAATTCACTTCTGGGACATATTGTCACAGCATGTCGCGTCTCCGGTATCGGGGAAGGCAACAGCATTGTTCTAAACGATTGCCATGCCAATTTGCTTAAGCTATCTAGACAAGCGGGTGAAGGCGGCTTCACCTTCAACTTTGCCGACATACACTGACGTCACCTTGGTTATACGGTCACTCACCTTGCACTAACAAAACGCGAGTCACCGCGACTTGCGCTGCTGCCTACATAAAAAGACGTCGACGCTATAACAACCCAGCCTCCACCACCACCTCACGACCACCCGCCTCCCCTCCCTCCCCTCCAAATGGCGACTGCGAGAAAGACATCTGAGAATGTGAGTACTTGGTAGCAACCTGCTTCCTTGCGCGACCTTCTCAGAACCGTCTTCTCGCAGTCGCCCGACAAGCTGTCGCGCCACCATGCGAGCGCAGCCCATCGAGGCACTAAAACAAACCAACACTCCTATATTTATCCAAACATCACAGTCACTCTCACCCTCATCCGCTTGCAGAGTCTCTTCGCCAAAACGCGCTGTTTTGGTTGCCTTTGCAACTTGGGTCCGCGCGCCGTCGCAGGCACTCACCTACAGAGGCAGTCTCTCACAACAACCTCACTCTTACCCTCTACAACCTCCCCTTCCTACTATTTCTGCAAGCAACGCTGCAACCCCCATTCCACTACCACTTCTGAGCCGCACCCACGTTCGGTCATCATGGATCGTGCCGACCGCTTCATCGACCAAGACGAAGCCGAGCGAAACTCGTTCATTCAGCATCACGTCGTCACCGGTCGAGGCTCACTGTTCCCCGTGCAGGGCGATGCTTCTCGCTCCAAGCTCGATGTAAGCCACACTGCCCTGTACCAATTGCCTGGAATTTTACTAACGTTGCGCTCTGCAGGAGGTCGCAATCAACGATGTGATGGTGTCCTACATCGTAGACAACGACGTTGAAGGGCTCGAAACGACTCGTATCATCAAGTGAGTGATAGCCATATACCAATTCATGTGAGACATGTACTGACTACCCACACCAATCTTTAGGTACGCCGATCTCAGTCCGCATCACAGCACGATGTCGCACGAGGACTTGGCAGAGCTCTTGAAGAAGCCCCAGTTGAGCCGTTCCGGCGAGCTCTCGTACATGCTCGCGGCGCCCCGAGTCGTCGCCATGCTCGTCTGGTACTTCCCTCCGGCGTTGAGACTTCGGCCGTCCTCAACGACGACTGTGTTCCTCACTCCCCCCCACGCTTTACACCCCCCCGCGATCGCGTCTCTGCACTCAAAGTTGCACCATTGACTGAAGCTTCGCCACTGGACGTAGAAGCCTTGGCTTCGATCGCATTGGACATCTGCTCGCAACCTCCATTTCTCGGGCAGGATAGCTCAGCCAGACTGCTACGTGACGCCGGGAACAACGTGCTGGTACCGGCAAAACCGCATGTCTTCGTCTTGCTGAGCTGCGTCGAAATCTCTGTAAGCGGAGAGTTGCTTGTAGTCCCCAAAAGGATCTTGCTCCTTTTCAACTCAGTCAAAGCTGCAGCGAAGCTTGGACTACGCGCGCTGATTGGGAAGGCAGCGGTGGTCTGTACAACCGCGTCTGTCGCCACGACCCCGAGCTTCAACATCATCCATCAATCTCACGCAACGTTCTTGGAGGAAGCTGGACACGCCAGAGATGTCGAGATTGCTGGATTCTTCAGCCACTTCTGGAACGCCTGTCTGCGAATGTTCATCGGCTCGGTAAACCAATTAGGGCCGGCTGCATTTGGTCAGAACAACGAGAACCCGTTCGCGATGCAGCTTACTTTATCAATACTCCCTGGATGGGCTGCGGCAAGCCTCGAGATGAACGAACTCAACCAGACATCTCGATTCAAGAACCCAGCGCTGCTAGGATTGTGCGCCCTTGCGAACGATTCGCCACAGCTTCAGGCAGTAGCGGGTTCTTTCGATGACGCTCTCTCCGCTAAATACGACACTGTCAACAAGGCTATATGGGGCATTGACAACGATCTCATGTTCGTGAACACGGAGGATGCGACATCGACTAAGGATATCGGTGGGTCTTCTTACTTCCTAGAGACTGCCGCCGCGGTCATGAAGGATGCCGTCCACCGCATGGAACACATGGTGGGCGATTCCCATACCATCATCAGTCCGAAGAGCTAAGCCAGACTACTACATGATCTCGAGCGCAGCGTACTAGAATCTGTGGAAGTGCATGTCTTCGTCTTGGACAGTTATTTTTGGGAATTCGGGAAGCGGTGACTTGCTTGTAGTTCTCAAAAGGAACTTGCTCCTTGTAGATCTGGCGGATAGTCCACGTACAAAGTAGCGGAACGGGCTCCACGTAAAATGAGCTAGACGACTACATGATTTCTCTGGCCACTCGTTTCAAGCTTTCAGATTGGATGTTTCTGTCTCGCATGGGTATTGGTAGCAGGGTGTGAGAAGTAGCGCGACAGTTAAATACATAAAGAGCAAATGACAAGCCATAATTTCTGTAAATTCACTTTCCACATGCCGCACACAAAGGAAGAACGGAGGTGCGTCTTCATTTACAAAAAGACATGTATGAAAAAACTACATCCATGACTCCTTATACTTCTAGCACGAAAAGTCATGTCTACGGTAATCGCACCTAGGGCTTCTCAAACTCACACTACATAAGTGCATGTCTGCGGCAAACATGTCGTGTGTCCGCAAGACTTTTGAGAATCTGGAGCTTCGGCCTATGCTTAAGTGAAGATGTGTATCTGACAACCACATCTGTAACGCCCCAAACTCAAAAGACAAAATAGCTTGTCTATGGCAACTATGTTTGTGACTTTTCAAACTCGGCCCACTTGAGCGCATGTCTGCGGCAAGCATATCGGGTGTACGCAAGACTTTTGACAACCTAAGGCTTCGGCTTTTACTTAGATAGAGACATGTATCCGACAACTACATCTGTAACTCTCCACACTTAGTCGACACAAAAGCATGCGACGCAAAGCTTACTTTTCCTGTCCATCACGGAGTCACAACTCGCTCCTTACATCCCTTCTCATTCACTCATCAACTGCGAACAATAAGAAGGAACGTCGTCCGCGCGTCCGGGGCCTTTCACTTGGACTACTGTCTGGTCTCTGATGTTTTTCTTTAAGAACATAACTTGTTGCGCTCCACCAGTGACAAGCGCAACCCACTCAACTCATCTGCCTTGTTGTCACCCCTGACCCCACACTAACTTTCAACTCATTCAAGATGACCGAATCATCGGGCCCAGCTAGCTTCTCAAGCCTCCCGACAGAGATGAAGACCAACATCTTCGCCTCCATACGCGACAAAGCCACCAATGCAGCCGTTCGTCTCGTCAACCACGAATGGCGAGACATCATCACGCCAATGGCTTTTTCGAACCTTACGATAGCGTCGGATAATTTCACCCCAGAGATGCTGAACACACTCCTCGAGCCTGGGAACGGCGTCATACGCCACGTAAAGAGTATCTACATCGCCCGCGTTGGCACCGAGAAGCTGTACGGCGCATGCGACTATTCCACGCAGATGCTACTCATGTCAATCATCAGCGAACTTCCAAAGGGGGCACTATGCGCTCTAGGCGGGGAAGTCAATTTGCCCACAGGAATGATGTTTCATCTGCTGCAGCATCAGACGAAGCTGAAGCGGCTCGATGTTCTTTTCAATCTTGGGCTTGGTACTGCCAACGTAAGCTACGCACACGGAGCTCACGAATCGTGGATATCCTCTCGGCTTGCGAGTATCGAGTCGCTCACCGTGATGCCCGATGACATGGGCAGCGAACAATGCAAGGCGGCTGGACTACTCGTGCGCAGCGCTCCGAATCTCAAAGGACTCAGGATTGTGACACGTCCTGATTGCCTCAGTCTCACGGCGTATCCTGACCGCCCAGATGCACGACCAGACTGGGCCGTCTTTGGAGGGCCGTTTGGAAGTGGCAGTGCGCCTCCTCGACTCAAGTTATCACGGATGAGCCTGGAGCAGGTGGTCTTGGGGCGACGCGCTGCAGCTCTAATGCAGGGCAACGTCGACTTATCCAGACTCAAATGTCTTCAGCTTGTGGATTGCGAGAGCATTGTCGATCTCATGACAGTACTTGCGCCCGTTTGCAACCTCACTGAGTTGAACATTACAATGGCTCGGAATTCTTCTCCACTAGAACACACCATACGAGCTGTCGAAGCACTCCTCAACTCCTTCAACAGCCTGGAAAAGCTTTGGCTCGACATGGCAGACGGACGCATGGTCGATGTATCTTGTATCTCCCGCCACACCTCCCTCCGCCAACTCGGCATAGACGGCCACATCACAGATCGCGTACCCTTCTACCCCACGAAGGATCTGGAAAAACTGCTAAAATCACTCCCCTACCTCGAAGGCCTCGCCGTACACTTCCCCCGCCAATCCCTTCACCCGATCCGAGATCCCAACCCACTCTCTTATTTAGTACCAGACCGACCCGGCTCCGGCATGATATTCGACCAGAAGATCTTTCTAGTAAGCAACTCTCTGATCTCCCCACAACTCTAATAGCGAGTACTAACAACGTCTCCAGACCCATATCGCCGCACACCCCCATCTAAAACACCTCCGCCTTCTATCTCCACCAGATATTCACTATACCCGCGACAATTTTCCTCCAGATCGTGAGCCCTGTGCCGTCGGCTTTGCTGCACTGGACGAGATGGTTATGCAGCACTATGCAGCACAGATGCTGTATCATCTGAGCAGTTCAGGCTCGCGAGTACAAGTTCTGGGTATTTCACCAGGTGCAAGCCATATCATGGAGAAAACGGGGCTGGAAGATGGCAATGGGCATTCTTGGCCGGAGTACTGGTATAGGATGGGATGGGGATGTGGTGGTGGAGAGAGCGGGTCAGTGGAGATGATGTCAGAAAAAGAGCCGGTGAAGGAGGGGGAAGGAGATGTGTTGGCGAAGTTGAAGGAGGTTGCTGTGCCGATGAAGATGGGACCTGGTATGCTGGTTAACACTGTGTTTAAGCAGATGTTTGATGTTGGCGGGGGATTGGGAGGGCCGCTATGATGCAAGCTTCAGGCTCTGGATGTCTAGACACCAACGTGTTTGTCGCAGACATGCAACGATGTGGTGTGAGTTTGAGAAACAGACATTTCGACATAGCTCATCAAGATGACATGTAATCGCAGAAAAGTATCAAAGCAGTGACTACTTCTTCAACACATCCTCCACAACCTTCAGAACCTCCACCAACTCCTCATCCATCATACTCTTCCCCATAACCTGCACATGCGTAGGCAACCCCTCACACTCATCCGCATCATCTGCAACAAATTAGCCTCCAGCACACCCTCGATTCGCAAAGACCACTTACAAGGCGGTTCAAACACCACGCCCTCCTTCGCAAACTCCTTATCAGCCTCCTTCTCCGCCTTCCCAGCCGTCAACACCCCACTCGGCCAATTCAGCAAATTAACCACAACCGTATAAATCGGCAGTCCATACGTATCATGCTTCGGCGCCACACCCTGATACCCCGGCATCAAAACAGCATCTAACCCCTTCTCCCCCTCGCCACCAACACCACCAACCATCACCCCATGCCACCCCCTCACAACCCCCGCTTTCTTTACATTCAAATCCCACAGCTCATCCAGACTCGGCACCCAGTCTTTCAACTCGGGGAACGAGCATGTTGATAGCGAAGGTACAGGCGGCTCCCCGCCATCTTTGATATATTGCAGTGGCGTTTTCTTCGGATCCAGCAAGAAGAATTTCCATGCCAGTAAGGCGGTTTGGTAGAGATCTGGTATCTTGTCATCCAGCAGCACAATCTCATGCCCCTGCGCTTTCAATTTCATCGCCGTGGTATGCAGTGCGCGCGCAATGGGTGGGTGGAGCGGTCGTTCTTTACAGCCCCTCACCAGTCCGAAGCGCAGGGAGTGAGGTGAAGGCTGGACAAGCCGCCAGGGCACGTTGAGACTATTTTCGTCGTAGAGATACGGTTTCGCGTCGCTCACACACCGTAAAAAGAGTTCGTAGTCGCGGACAGAACGGCCACACGGGCCTATGACTACGGGAACGGAACCGGGACTTCCCAGCCGACCGACTGCGACGCCGCCTGCGAACGGGACTCGACCTGCTGTTGGCTTCAAAGACGAGCCGCCGCAGCATATCGCGGGGATGCGGTTGGATCCTGCTACATCGGTTGCTACGCCCAGGACACTGCCTTTCATAGCGAGGAGGGCGCCCTCGCCGCCTGTGGAACCGCCGGCTGTGTGAGAGAGTTTGAGCGGGTTTAGCGTGCGGCCGAAGATGTTGTTGTGGGAGTCTGCTGTCATCATAGTCTGAGGGAGATTGGTTTTGACATAGAAGACCGCGCCGAGCGTGTGCAGGAGGGTTACCAGGGAGGAGTTTGAAGCAGCGGGCGGGTGCGCGAGGAAAGAGACGTAACCAAGTGTTGCTTGTACGCCTTTTACGTTGAACGAGTCCTTCAAACTAATCGGCAGCCCATGCAACGGACCCATAACCTTCCCTTCTCTCTTCAGAAAATGATCACATTCCCTCGCCCGAGCAAGTGCTTCCTCGAACATGATCTCTGTCAGGCAACTCACGCACTGCTGGGCCACAGCTGCTCTCTTGCAGAATGCCGTCACGACCTCTGTGCTGCTTAATTGGCCCTCCGCCATCATCTTGACCAGATCAGTGGCATCGTAGTTTTCCGTAATGTCTAGCTCTTTCTCTGTCAAGATGCCGCATGTTCGTGGTACATCTAACACAGATATACTGGACGTTTCTGTGTACTGAGATGTTTGCGAAGAAGGCAGCCGCCAATCTTCCGGTATCTTGGAGTAAACGGATTCGCGTTTCGAAGCGGCGAGGGTGCGCCAGTCGGGTATGGATGGTGGTGCTGCGGTCATGGTGTTTGGTGATGGGATGACTGGGGTTAGATGGATGGGATCAGGGTGTTCAAGTCGGAGTTGTTAGGCAAAGAAGGATGGTTATGTGATTCGGGGTTTGAGGTAAGGAAAAGGCAAATCGCAGCGGTGAGGATGCAATAGCGAAGACGCTACTGTGTATCATTGTTACATGCTGATGATGAGGGGTTTGGGGGGCTATGGGGAGCCGGCCGAGGTTGCCGAGTCGGAGGGAGATCCCGAAAGGCGTG